ACAGTCTGCCCCTCCCTTGGCCCTCTGCACCGAGGGCCTGCTCGGAGGCCCCTGATTCCCATGGCTCTCCCCTCACTCTGTCCTAAGGGCAGGGACAGGCCCCGCTGACACCTGTGGGTCCAGCAGGTGGCAGGCGGCCAGTGCTGCTGGCTAACGGGACTGTGTGCCCCTGCCTCGGGGGGCCACGGTGCGTCGACCCCATCTCCAGCCTGGCAGCACCCTACCCTCACCTATGTGCTAGCCAGTGGAAGCCTGGGGTGGTTGCCTTGCCGAGGGCATGGGGACGGCAGAAATTCAGATGGCCTATGCCTTGTGGAGCCACCCCAGAATGCCTAGCACCTAGATGGCACCTCTTGGACTCACGACCCGTGGCCCCCCGGCTCCCCCCCAGCTGAACTGGCGCTGGCCACGGCATGGACGAGCTGCCTCATAAGCCAGCAAAGAAGACAGAGCGGCTGAGGGAAGAAGCAAGCTACTCTTTGTGCCCGGGCAGAGCAGGGGGGTCCAGGGAAGAGCCCTGGACCCCACCACCCTCCCCCACGCAGGGACACCTTGGGATCAGCTGCACCCACACAGCCAGGCAGTGACAAACTTGATCACCTTCACTGTGTTGCTGACAAGATTCGGTTATTTTAATATTAATGCATTACCTAATTAAGCTGCAATTAATAATCTCCCTGGCCTAGCCTGGGTACTGCAGGGGGCCCTGTGAGGAGCCAAGAGCCAGCTGGGGGAGGCTAAGGATTTAGGCTCCTGCCGACCCAGGAGGCTGGGCCCTTGCTATGGGTTGTTCAGCAATTCCTTTGTCAAAGATCCACCAGAAACTCAGACCAGCTCTCCCCCCAACTCTGAGAGCACGGTTAGGGAGGGTGGGGGGCTGTGCGCCCTCCCCCGTCCTGGCTAGCCTGACGGGTCCTTCTCCTGTTCAGCAAAGGTGTGCTCCTCAGGAGGCCAGGCCCCTGCCGCTAGTCCAGTCACCTGCCACGGCACACTTGCTCCATCTGAGGGCCGTGCGCACCTGCACTGAACTCGGGGGCAGCTCTGCAAGGCTAGCTCGGAGGTGGTGTCCTGTGCACAGCAGGAGGGAACCTGTCTGGACCGTCAGCACCCTTTACATCATCTGTCAGGGAACTGGTCACGTTCCTACGAGGTCCACTGGTCTGTGCTAACCCTGGGGTGCCCGAGGGCGGGGGCCCTTGTATGTGTTTTCTGCCTCATTTCTGGCCTTCAGCCGGAGCCCAGACCAGAGCAAGCCGGTCTGCTCCCAGCAACCAACACCAGTCTGCACAGCCAAAGGCCTGGGCGGCGGGGTGGGAGGGGTTGGGCAGCCCGCTCAGAGGTGGCAGGGCAGCCTGGCCTACAAGACCGGGGGTGGAGGGCAGCAGCGCGGGGGGCATCTGTTGGTGGCTGGAAGTCCACTAGAGCCCCATTCCCTGCGGCGCATCTTCAGGGTACCCAGACACCTGGCCAGGGGCCTGCAAGTGCCGAGGCTCCTGCAACTGGCAGGAGGTCAGAGGTCACGGCCCAGCAGCCTGGCCCTGCGCTGCTGGAGCCGCATGCACTGCAGATGGCATGGGGGGCTCAGGAGGGCGCGTCTGCTGACGGCCTACAGCCTTGCTGGCAGGAACACACAGGGCCTCCGCAGAGGCTGGCGTCTAACCCCCATGCTCCGTCTGCATGCCACCATCCATTCAGCAGCAGCCAGCTGTCTACCCACTTAAACGCCATCCGCGAGGCTCACGGCTGTTCTAACACGCTCCTTCGGGGCTGAGGCAGCTGCCCGGGGCTGGGGTCCCACGACCACACTCGCCATGCAGCCGCCCCCGCTTCTCCTGCAAATGTAAGACAAACGCCTGGCACGAGACCGTGGGCAAACACAGGCTGCAAACCCAGTGGAGGTTCTCAGAGCTCCCGCTCCCACCGAGCTTCCGGAGAGGCGGAAGCACCTCCCCCCGCTGTGGCAGCCGTGTGCCCCGAGGATGGACACGGTGACCCCCTGCTTCCCCACTCACACGCCCAGTCAGTTGCCGCTGCCGGGTCCAGCATGGGACCCGCCCCCCCCCCCAGTCCCCACCCCAGGCCCATCCCAAATGAGGCTCTGGCCTCTTTCTTTGCAGACCAGCCCCCGTGCCTCAGCGGAGCGCTGGAACGCACTGGCCTTCACAAGCCAGACTTGCACACACATCTGAAACTTTAGGCTTTGTTTTTACGCCAACTCTGTTGCACAGGTAGATCTTAACCTTCGAGAGTCCAGTGGCGGGACAAGGCATCTCCCACTCCCTCAGGGCATCAGCTGCACCCACTGGATGGTCACTTGGGTACTAAGTCCTCTTGTGGAAGAACCACGACAGTGATGGCGCTCCTGGATCAGACAGCTGAAGCAGTGCCCACCGCCCTCTGCCCTCTCCCAGGACACGATGCCCTGAGTTGCTTGTGTCAGAACCCCATGCTGTCCTGACTGTAGCCATGCGACCTGGGCCGGGCAGGAGACCAGGACTTTCTCCCCCACACTTTCTGCTTCCCCTGCAGCTGGTGACGGTCCTGCTTTTCCAGTGGCTCTGTTTTGCAGGTACTCGTGACCGACTCGGCAAACCTCCCTACCGGGTGTCCACGTTGGAGCACCCTGACCGTGTGGTGGGAACCGTAAGCTGGGAGTCCAGCACACAGGTGAGGAAAGCTCTGGTCCACACCATCTCTCAAGACACTGGACACCTTACATTCTGCAACCTCATCTGTCTGAAGTGGTTCTAGAACCTTCTGACCAGTCTCAACCTGCGCCGGCTGCACCTGGGGCGGCTGGCTGTCCTGGGTCCTTCTCCTCTCTCCAGGGCTGGCGCCCGGGCCTCCTGTATCTGTGTTGCTCCCTGGCTCCTGCGCTCACTTCATGGGTACGCATCCTCCACAGGCCTCGTGAGAGAGGGAACAGCGAGGCAGGGTTTTCCAGACGTTGAACGTCGGAAACAGAACTGAATCCCTCCCTGATAGGCCTGAGCGCAGGGCTGGCCGTGAGCCGCCGTCCAGTCTCTCAGGCACCGGGAGCCCAGCCCCTGGAGGCTTTCTCGCTCCCTGGGCCGCAGTTGAGAACGGAGCGGCCCGTCTTCTCCCTCTACGGGAGGCAACAGGTCCCCTCGTCCCTGCGTTCAGAAGTCCCAGGATGACACGTCCCAGTGTGGGGCGCCTCCCTCCGGCCAGCCGCACGTTCCCGGGGTCCCTGCCCTCTCCTGGACCCACCAGGCAAACCGCGGACACCCCACACCCCTCCCACCTTCATCCGGCCTCTGCTCTCCTGTTCACATAACCTCCCCCAATTTTATAATTCTGTTTAGATTTTCATTTCACTTTTGGTGTTTTTAACTTCCAGAAGAGTTCACGTGTTTCCTCTTTGAAAACACTCCTCAAAGTAAAGCAACACATTCTTCTTTCTCTCTGAAGACATCCGGGAACAATCCCTCGAAGGCTTTCTCTTCCCACTTGTGCTGTTCTCGTCCGCAGGGCCGACAGTCCTGGGCCCCTGCTCACAGTGAGCAGAGGGCTCTGCGGGTCCTGCCAGGGACAGCCCTGGTCTGCCAGGGCCTCTAATGTCAGATCCCGCGCCAGGAGCCCGTCCAGAAGGTGTTGTGGTGGGTGAAGGGAGAGAGGGGTGGCTGGGGTGGGGGTCGAGGCACCCATGCACACCGCCTCTGTGCTGGCGTTGGTGTTCCCATCCGGGGACCCTCTGTGGGCCACAGGCGTGTCTGACCCAGCAGGCCTGATGCAGAGCCTGATATCCTGGGTCCCTAACAAGTTCCTGGGGAGGGCCCTGCCCGTGTGGGACCTGCTCTCTGGGACTCAGGCGCTAAGAGAATCACCTTGATTTTGTTTCCTCTTTTCATTTTTGCTGGGAGAGAGACCACTGCCAACCACTGGTGCTGGGTGGAAGACCTGGGGGCCGATGCCTTGTAATTACACCCGCCAGCAAGCACCCTTGATCCTCTGCCTCTGGGGCCACCCGCCACCACCTCCGGCTGTGGGGTCTCCGGGGCATGGCTCAGACAGGCTCCTGGCTCCACCGTTGCTCACCCTTCAACCCCCCGCCCACCAACTTCCCTGATTCCAAGTTTGTTGTAGTAGCCTGTCTCTGTGGGTTCACATCTTCCTTGACAATGAGAAAACAAAACCCCCAAGCCTCCCAGGGAGTGCCCGCCAGCTCACCCCAGGGCAGGCTCATGGCAAAGGCAAACGGGACAGAGAGGGGGCTGTGTCCAAGACCACTGACCAAGAAGACACGTGGAGAACAAGTCCTAGGCAGGGCTAGGCAGAGTGAGGGAGACAAGGGGTGGCTAGCGCCCTGCCGCCTCCATAGGGATGAGATGAGCCGCATGAGGAGGTTGTCGGGAGGGCCTTCAGTGACACTGACGGCCCAGCGACCCGGCCAGAGCTGCGGCAGGAAGGGCTGGGCAGAAGCCCCCTCCTGGCCACGCTCCACCGCTGAGAGGCTGGCTTCCGCACATGGCCCTCATGGCGGACGGTGACCCCAGGCAAGCGGGGCGCTCACACACGCCCACTGTTGCTGGTGGGCCATTGGTCTCTGCGATCGCAGGGCAGGTCCAGCACGGGACCCCGTGGGGACAGGAGGGTCATCTTCCCGCACTGGCAGGGACGAGCCGCGGGCTCAGGGGCTGTCACCCTGATTTGCGGAGCTGCAGAGTGAGGGTGTGGCCGTGTTAGAGAGGCCGCTTCCCGAGTCCGAGCTCACCTGCTCAGGTGCTGGGCTCTGCGCAAGGTACTGAGCCCCGTGAAAGCTGGTCCCTGTTTCCATGAGTGTCGGACCTACTCATGATTAACGGGACACGTGTACACTGAAAAAGGGCATTAATCTGTGTGAGGGGGGCTGGAAATTGTTTCCCCACTACTGCCTTGCGCCGTCCTGCCGTGACCTGCAGCCGCAGGTGTTCGGTCCCAGGCCCGCCCCCCGCCCCCCGCCCACGGGATGGCCCACGGACGCGGGGGCACAGACCTACCTGTCAGCTCCGTGGACGAAGGCAGACTCGCAGCGGCCTCCAGGCCGGCAGGGACGGGGCCACCTTGCTCCAGGGCGTGCACGAGCTCCCGTAGCTGCTCGCACTCCTCCTGCAGCCGGGCCTGGTCCTCACGGAGCCGCTGCTTGGCCGCACTGGCCGGGTTCATGCTCATGTGCAGCACTTTGGTTCTGCTCTGGTCGTAGCTGCCCTGCAGGACCACAGGACAGGTCAGCACAGCCTGGACCCACGCCGCAAGGCTCTGGTGATCGATGTGGGGCCTCAACACCGGAGCGTGAGGGCAGGGACGGCCACCCCCTCCCCAAGCCTCTACGCCCTGATCAATAAGCCGATGATGGTGCCGTTACCCGCCTCAAGGAGTGGTAAGCAGTAGCTGGGGAAGAAAACACGGGAAAACCCGCGAGACAGCCCTTCGGAATGTTGCAGGTGATCGGGCCACCCGAGTGCCTCTCTGTCTTCCCGCACAACAGTTGTAAAAGCAAACAGGAGAGGCATCTCGAAAGCTCTACACCCTCAAAACACTCTACTGGCAAATATTCTCACGCCTGGGGGCCTTGCTCCCACACACCCTGCTGTCTCAAGGTCCACAGACGTAGAAAAACAATACAGAACTCAGAGAGAGATCGCGACGAGAGCTCAGAGTCCCCGCGTGGCCATGCCCCCATCCCTGTTCCGAGCAGCACAAGGGCCATCAACGGCTTGCCAGTGTGGACACGGGCCTCGCTCAGCTGCGAGTGTACAAACACTTGCGAGCCCAGCCACTTGTGTCTATTTTACACTGAGGACGGGTTCACACGGACATCCACCTCCACACCTTGCCACAGCATGGTCCAGCTCGGCCCCTCCCCTGCTGCCCTAGCCGCCCACCCCCAACGCGGTTACTGGGTCCAACACCTGCGTGCCGTGCCGCGCGTGAGGAGCATCACGCTGAGCACAGGCCCTCGTGCCTCTGGGTTCAGCCTCTCGGCTGCCCAGGGACCGAGGTCGGCCCCGGTCCTGCTTTGGGGCACTGCTCCGAGCACTGGAAGGTCGCTCACTCGCTGGCCTCATGGATGATGTCACAGTGACACACACGTCGATGTCGTGATCAGATTCAGTGGGTGTTGACAAATGCACATCACGTGTCCTGGCCCCGCCCTCATGGCCTCCATAGTTCTGGCTTTTCCAGAACACGGCCAGCCGGAGCCTCTTCAAACGGGCAGCTCTCACTTAGCGCTGTGCAGGGAAGGCTCCACCCACCCTCTGCTGGCTTGCTGACTCATTTCTTTTCAGAAAGCTGAGTCACACTCCCTTGTGCGGACACACCGGTTTGCGGGTCCACTCACTCCTGAGGGGCCTTGGTCACTTCCAGTTTGGGCACTTATGGAGAAAGCCACTACGAGCAGTCACGTGCCGGTTGTGTGTGGACACAGGTGTTCGAGTCACTGTGTCAAGCTTCTCTGCTGCTTGGTCCACCCGCCTCTGCTGGGGCCCCTGGTCGCCCCCCAGGAGAACCCTCGCTCAGCCAGCAGGCCCACCTCGAAGGCCCCCTCCGCTGCTCCCTGAAGGGGCAGCCCCCACCCCGGTGAGCAGACACCGGCCCACTCTGGCCAATGAGGAGCCCCCTCTTGCCTGACCCCAGAAACCAGCGCGAGGGTGGCCCTGGGATCAGGCGAGGCCACTTTCCTGAGGTTTTAGCCTCGGCAGCCAGGAAAGGCTGGGAAAGAAGCCTCCTCCTCCCTGAGGCTGCCATGTGTCCCACCTCTTCCCTCCCGGCCTGGAAGAGGCCCATCCCCCCCGGGGAAACAAGGTCAGCAATGCAGAGATGGAGAGCAAGTGAGGCCCGGCCTCCGTGTGGCACTCGGTAAGCATGTGGGGAACAACCTGAAATCTCAGACCCGACCCAGGGCCTGGATGAGCCGCGCAGCCTATGGCAGGTGAGCACGACTGTGGGACCACGTGGCAGATGCCACGACGCCTGAGTCTCAGCAGTGACGACCGAGAGCCACCGACGCATGGACAGACGGAGACCGGGGGGAAGGGTCGTCTCCCCAGCAAATGGTGTGGGGGCCACGGGATGCCCCAATCACTCTCACCTCACAGCACACACAAACCCCGACTCCTGAGGGAGGGCAAATTTACAAACAGAAGGTAGAACAAAACACTGTTAGAAGAAAACACAAGAGAACATGGTGACCTTGGAGCAGACAGAGGTTTTTCGGAAACAGGTTCCGAGGCGCTGGCCACACGTGAACACAAGCACACTGGACTCAGAGAGTGAGAGGCGACGGGCAGAGGCGGTCACTGGAAATACAGAAACCTGACCCAGGACTCAGGGCCAGAATCCCCAGAGGACTCACACAAACAGGCAAGGCAAAAGCAGACAATTCAAGTTTCAAAATGGGCAAAATTGTGAACACTTCACGAGAGTATCCAAAGGGCCAACAAAGCATGAAATGGAGCACAAATTAAGCGTCAGAGGGATGCCAATTACCACGGCGATGAGATACCCCGCGCTCCCCCCCGAACAGACGGAGAACACCGAGCACCACGGGTGCCGAGCAGCCAGGGCTTGTGCTGGTGAGGACGGGAACTGACATGGCTGCCCTGAAAACGCCACTTGGCGGTGTGCCTGCTTGAGGAGGGCGACATCCTAGGGCGGGCAACTCAGGGCCTCAGAGACGGCCACCAGGAATCAGGCACCCACGGTCCACGCCCATCACGTGCGGTGTGTGGTCCCCACGTGGAAGACCGTCCATCCGCAAGGAGGGGCGCGCAAACAGCACCGGACATCACACGTCAGACACAGCGGAGCCCACACCATCAGTCCCGCCGGCACACCCCACAGCGGCAGGCCACACTGCTCTGTGCCATGGAGGGCAGGAGGGGCCGGCACGGGGGGCTCCGCGGTGTTTGTGATGCTCCGCGTGCTGCTCTGGACGCCGGTTATCGGCGCGGTCAGTCTGTGGAAACTCACTTCTGCTGTCCTGCCTCGTGGCCATGACGGAAAGGGGTGCCCGAACACAAAGACCGTCCAGACACTCACGGGGACTGAACGCTCGATGGTACCGGAGTTCACTCACACTCCGGAGTGAGGGCAGGTCCACATGCACACAGATACACACGTGTGTGCAGACAGGTGCACACAAGTGCACACAGACACGCTCACGGAGCACACACGGACACAGATGGACCCACATACATACTCACACACACAGACACCCACACACGTACACACACGGCGGGCACACAATACACAGACTTACACACATATCAAGGTCAGAGAACCCCAAGGGGAAGGGGCACTGGAGACCATTGCCCCTAGCGCTGCTGGGCATCCACTGTCTGGGGATCTGCCTCTGAGACCCTGATGACCCTGTGACAATCTGGTGGGGGGAGGTCTCACCTCTTCTTTCTCATGCTCTTGTATCTGCTGAGTGCAGCCCCAGTTTATGGTCTAAACAACCTGCCCGTGCCCCAAGCCAGTGGAGGCGGGGCAGAAGCCGGGCGCAGGAAACTCCCCTCCGCTATACCCCCTGCCCTCCACTCAGAAGGTGGCTCCTGGGGGCTCAGACACCAGGAGATGCCCCACATGGAAGAGGCTGCTGCCTCCTCAGTCGGGAGGGACGTCTGTGGGGTCACAGCAAGGGCCACGCCTCTGGCCATCACTCCCTGGCCTCCGTGACAAGGACAGGGGCCACCGCAGGGCAAGGGAGGGAGAGGGCCGTCTCAAAGGCCTCAGCGTCTGCCGAAGCAGAGAGCGGAAGGCCCCAAGCCAGGTGCTCTGGGAGGCTGGTGTCTCCTGAGCCGACGGGCAGGAGGCCACTGGCCAGCAACCGCAACCGTCTCCGTAAGCCAGGCACCCCGGGCCAGCTGAACAACCATGGCCCGTCTCCTTCCCGCTCAATACGCAGTGATCTGCCCTCTCCTCTCCAACAATCCCATTTCCCACTGCCTCTGTGACTCCCGCCCACACATCTCTCCTCTCTCTTCTAGAGAAAATGGATGGGGTGGAGGAGGGACAGAGACTTTATTCAGATCATCCCACTCCCCCAGGAAGCAGGCTGGCTGCAGACACATCCGCTAAGTGCGGCAGGGTCAGCACACGAGCTCAAGCTGCCATGGGTGTGGTCCTGCCACGTCACTGAAGGACAGTGCAACCACCGTGGGGTCCGGGGAGGGGCCAGCCGCCAGCCCGGAACCCCCAAATGCGCCTGGAAAGGGGAGGAGGAAGGGGATGGGGGGAGGAGCAACAGGATCCTCCCCCTTCTGCATGACACCTCCGGAAAGTAAACACCTTCCCAGGGTTATGGGCACAGGGGAAGGAGGCCCACAAGCCCCTCATGGATGGGGAGAGCAGAGACACCAGCTTCGGCCAGAGCTGTGGGTCAGCAGCCATGGCCCCCTGGGCCCCTCTCCTCAGGGAGGGCGGGTGGTAGCAGCTGGGTGGGGGCCTGGGACCCCAAGGAGCCTGCCGGGGAAGGCCTGAGCAGGGAGGACTCGGGGCCCTTGACAGGTTTCTGACAACCTTGTAAAAACCCCAAAGGATAAAGAGACATCCTGTAGTTCCGAATGAATCACAGACTCTTGGGTTGGGAGGCAGTGTTACTAGTCCCTCCAGTTTGAACAGTCTGGGAAAGATGACCGAGTGTGTGAAATCCATCGGCCCTGTGCAGCTGGGCAGAGGCCCAGTGACAGCAGACAGGCTGGCAGCTTGCTTTCTGGGCCTTTGGGGGCTGGAGGGTGGGTGGGCACGCAGGGAGGGAGTGCAGGCTTCACGGTCACACGCCTCCATCCAACAGCCCACTCTGCGTCTACGCTGGGCATCCAGGAGCGAGCCATGAGCCGCGCAAAAACACAGACCCAACTCTCATCGCTCACGTGTCCCCAAACGTTGTTCTTCCCTTGGTTTTCCTTCAACCCTTCAAAAATGTAAAAACAAAGTGAGGTGGGCAGGCCTCAGGCCTGGGCCCACCCCTGCTCAGCCAGAGGGTCAAGTCCCTCCTTCCCTCGGCCACAAAGCAGATGCTCTCCTGGGCCAGAGACAGGACGTGACCACTCACGCCAGGGGGCTGCACAGGGAGGCAGGTGCGGGGTAAATCAGGGGACCTGCACCTGGACATCGAGGTCCTGGGGCGGTCCTCCTCTGTCATGGAGACGCCAAACACATGTGGGCAGGAAGGAGAACCACCGCTCCCACCCAGGA